GGGCTGCAGCAGCTAGCAGGGGATGGGGCCAAGTGGGGCAGCAATTGGAGAGCTGGGTTGGGGCATGTGGGCCTTGTGGGGGGGGTGGTAGCCCCTGCGGGGGCCATTTGGCCCCTGTTGGGGAGCCGTAACCCCTGTGTGGCCATAGCCCCCCAACAGTCAGTGCTTTAACACTGTAGATGTATCAATAAAACATTGCGCAAATGATCGCTGTCTCTCTCTCTCTCTCTGTATATAGTGGTCTTTTGTTTTAATTGTGGAGGAACATGGATTTGGGGGTATTTTACAGAGTGACTGGGAATTTTTTTATCAGGGATTTTTCAGTTTTCCAATAGGGAACACCAGAACTCATGCTAGGCAGGGCAGTGGTAGGACCCTGCCTGCTCAGAGCTGGCACTTTGGACCCAGCTGGCTGTGGCTGACCTCCTGGACAAATGGGGCTAGGAGGACATGCTTTGACAGTACAAAGCAGGTCACCACACCTGGAACATATTCCAGGCTATAGTTGCCCAGGTGGCCAGGCAAGGGGCACACATGGCAGTAGTGCCACACAGAGGCCAACCCTGCAGGCACAACCCGCTGGCAGCTGGCCCAGAGGGGCAGGTGCCTCATCCTGGTTTGGCAGGTGCACTTGAGGTCACAGCCAGGCAGCACTCCCCACTGCCAGACTGCTGCAGTGGGTAGAGTGCAGGGAACTCTCAGGGCTGCTTCAGCAGTCCAGCTGGCACAAGGGGTAGTGTCCTCAGATACCAACTGGCTGGGCCCCAGAAGCTCCTGAGAGCGAGCAGCTCTGAGCTATTTGCCAGGGCAGCTTTTTATACTGCTGAGGCCAGGACAGGGCAGCTTTTTATACTGCTGGGGACAGCACAGGTGCTGGCCCCAGGCTGTAGCTCCCCCTGGCTGCAGATCTGGGAGGAGCCAGGCAGGGTTATTTTGCCCCAAGTGGCACAATTTGCTCCTCAGCAAAGTGCATGTCCAAGCATGTGCACTGGGGCAAAAAGCCCTGGTTCAAATTTGCACCGCTTCTATTTGAGCTGCTGCAAGCGCATGTGCTTGCATGTATGGACGTGCCCTATATGTCAGGAAGAACTGAGACAAAACTCTGAGCAGTCACGACCCACAGAAGATTCCTGTCACACACCATTCTCACCTTTGTTGCTGACAGTTGGCCTGTTTCTATGATATTTTTCTCTTTACCTTAGATATTTTAGCTTTTTTTTCTATATATGAATTATACTTTTGCAGCCTGGGCTGCATTCAGCCTTATATTGGAAGTAGTGCAACTCAGTTGAAGGCATGTAGTATGGATAAGTAATTGTAATTGTAGGGTACATGCATGAAACCCAAGTTGAGGTCATACCACTCTTTC